TGCCCCATCCCTGGCAACACTGAAGGTCAGGGGGCCTTGGAGGGGCCTCTGAGCAACCTGATCTAGTTGAAGATGTCCCTGCTCATTGCAGGGGGTTGGACTAGATGACCTTTAAAGGTCCCTTCCAACCCAAACTATTGAACGATTCTACTCTGACATGGCTGTGCAACTCCCTGTTCCAGCAACAAGTTCACTTCTTAGCAGGAAAATCTAAAATGAATATTGGTCATATTAATTTTGTGAAAGTTTGCAGATGTCCTTGGGCAAATACAGTCCCCAACAAGAAGTGAAACAGTAATGGCATTCTTAGATTTATACTGAGGGGAGTTATCACCGATTCCTCCATACACATAGTGCTACGAAGTTTAACAGAAGTAAAAATCTGAAAGGATAAGTCTCACACCAGCTTGGTAAAAGAAGCATAATGAACCTAGTTACAACCCGGTTAGAGTAAAGGTTCCTCTTCCACAGAAATAGAGGTTCCTAAAAATTTGCCATATGTGTCTTATTTTAATTCTTCCCAACTATCTTACAAGACTGTCCTTCATATTTGTCTACTTTTTAACTCTTACAACCTTTCCTGTCCAGACTCCTAAGAGTCCAGTCTTTCTCCCAATGTTTTCCAGTTCCTATGTGCTACACCTGATCTAGAATATCTTGAGCAACCTTTTCCTCCTCTTCCTGATTGCTCCAGCTACTGTGGAGCAGAAAAGAAACGACGCCTCTGTTCTCAGTCCAATGCCTGCTCCATAACCCACCCCTCTTCCCAAAAAGCATAAGCCTACCAACAGGCAACACCTCTTCATCTACAATATGTAGCAGTCATTGATCAGTTACAAACAAGAAGCACCAGAAAAACATACTTAAGAAACAACACTAAGGACTAGAAAGAGTGAGAACTGTTTTGCGTTAGCTTTGAGAAAATTATTAACTCCAGTTTTAACAGGAAAGCTTATTAGCACTTGAAGCTCTGACAAAGAGAGAGAGAGAATTTCTAAAAATGCATCATTTACATGCAGCAGCATTCCACTTTACCTGGATGTACAGAACAGCTTGCTTTTAGCCTGGGAATAAACTGTACTAGCAATCCGCCAAAGCTGTTCTTGCATCCATCGAACATCAGCAGGCATGTCAGGAAACCAGTTTACTAACCTACAACAAAAAGGAAAATACAGTTGTTTTGTAAACACTAGATCTAATCTGCATTATATTTTTACATACCAGGTCCAACATCCAACAAAATAACACAGCTTTCATTCTCCCCAAGTTAATTTCCCCATCAAGGTCTTCAGTTCTTCCCAACCTCCCTGAACTCCTATCTAGCCCACTCATCCCTTTTCTACAAGCTAAGAAGAGGGGCAGCACAGACCACTGTATCTCTCATCTATGCTGAGTGGCTGACCAGTATGTGCATTCCACACCCTCTGACCAACATTGAGGAAACTTGCAAAATACTCCTGTCTCCAATACCTCTTTCTTTGTAGTAGGAACTTTAGGTCAGTTTAAAGTTAGGTGGAAGGAAGAACAAAAAAAAAAGCATAATGGAAGAAGAAATAGAAGGCAGAAACAGAACAATGTCACAAATGTATTTTTTACCTTATAATTCTCTTAACAGAAGTCAGTTATACCAGAGGGGGATGAGGGGTAAAAACCCATGTAAAATTCTGTTGAAACTTGCTTCCTTCCCATCCACCAAAAAAATGGCACAGAAGTGCCACATTAAGTGGTAAAAAACCAAAATATTTTACTGGAGTTCTGTGTGGTTCTATTTACAGAACATTTGATTTTTCAAGTACTTTCTAAAGATAGCAATGACACCTCTGCTATGGAGGTGGTCTGCTAAGGACTGGAATTCTCTTAAGCAAGCATAAAGCTTAGGGTTCATGGTGCATTTATTTAGCATAATTCTTCCTTTATGAGAATTGAAAAACTTATAAAATTAAGCTCTGTTTCAAGAGTACAACTTTCAGGCAACCTAAGCAAACCTAGTAAGAAAATTTATATGGCAAGTAAACACTAGGTCTCACTCCTGACTTCAGAAAGAAGCTAAAGCACAAGAACTATCTGGATAGAGTTCAAATACCACTGCAGAATATAGTAATGGTAATAAAGAATGTTCCTGGAAAACAATTAAGGGTGCTTCTTTTGAGTAGTTACAAGACAGCTACTAGTAATAAGAGTAAACTGTTCAGGAATCTTAATATGTTTATTTACCTAGCCTTAGACTATAGAGGCTTTGGCAGGATGCATATGGAGGTAGAAATAATGGTCTTTGGACAGTTACCACTTGAATTCCAGAGTACCGAAATGCCTACAACACTGAATAAGCTCTCAGTGAATAAACCTCCAAAAGTATTATAACTCTAAAATGGTTCATTAAAGTTCCTTACCGTAAAGCAACGGAGTAAGCGGACTCCACTGGTAGTGTATATGGTAGCATCAGATAGGATATAATCCGCATCGGGAAGAGTTTAGAGAACTGAGCGCAGAATCCATTCTGTTCTTTACAAGCTTCCTGCAGTGCTTAAGAATAATTATTTTTGAAAAAGATATTAGACTATTTGAAAACAGTTTAAATAATTTGCTCAAAGGTCGGTAATTTTCAGTCAACGCTATCAAGTGTTACTGAATAAGGCTCAGATAGAAAATGAAAGAATTAATTTCAAGGCACTCTTACCATAAGCCTTCTCTATGATATTTTAAAATATCGAAACAGACACTCGTATCAGAGGGACAAAAGGCATTACCCAGAACTTCTAAGCAACAAGTCTAAGAATTAATTTAGAATAAGAGAATGTAAAGTTCACCTCCCCAAAAATACTTATGTATTTTAGATAGCATTCCTGTCTTGTTAGAGACTCTGTAACTTTAAGGAGTTTGTTTAAATTCTAGAGCTCCACATATTCCAGTTGTTACATACACTTGTAAGAAGTATCACACTTCAAATTTTCTTCTCCTAGGTCACTGGGATCACAACTTTCAGATCTTGAAAATACCAATCAGCATCCACAAAAAAAACTAGGTAGAAGTTACAGATTAAAGAAAGATGAGAAGTGGTTTTGGTCTATCACCAGCTTATTAAAAAGACAGGAAAGCCAGAGAACTAGAAATCTACAGAAGTCGGGTTTTAAAAATAAGATGGGGATAAACCAGTGTTTGGATTTGAGGTTCAACTCTGGTGTGAAATACAAAAATGCTGTGCACATACAAAGTTCATCCAAAACCAAGTAAGAATTCAGTTCATGACTCTGCATTGTTGAAAGTAGCTCCTTCCTCCTGCTTCAGCCTTATTTCTGTAGCTAAACCAAAATGTATATGTCCACATTTAAAAAATATTTAAAGGCTTTTTCTTGGGTTGAGCTAGTCTCTAATATCACAGGCAGTTATACGATTAAATAAAAAGCATCTTATGCAAATTTTAAGAGTACGCAGAGGAAAAAAATAAATCCAAGTTTGTCATCCAAAGTTACAGGAAACAGTCTGAAGCATGTACCTTTACGAAGCCTAGGAGGTAGACTCTCAAATATGCTCTTCTCCAAAGGCCATGGATTTTGCTTCAGCTGGTCATTAAGTAGTTCCATTTTCAAAGTTTCTACTCTATTATTTTCTGTCAATTTTTTTTTCTTCATATGGTCAATGTGTTGTGCAGCCTCATGAGGATTTCTTTTTGTGAAGGACAAGTGGATATAAATGGAGTCATTCAGAATACCTGAAAGAGTCAAGAGCGTCCACTTAGGCTTGATCCACCAGTCTTCAGAGTACCTGTACAGTACCTGTTGTCTGTGTATCTGTAAAAAGGCCTATCCTGAGGGAACATTATCTACCCAATGTCAAATACACTCGCTCTTATAATCCCACAGATGTTTAATCACATTGGTGAATACTCTTTTGCAGGTTTAGGTCTTACTTTAAAACAGGTTCTAAAGAAAAGGGAAAAGTGAACAATTAACTGAAATGGTACTGGAAACATACAGTCATTTACCAAAGATGTTTTCCAGCAAGAGAGCAAATTATTTAAACAACAGAAGGAAAACTGATTTAATAGTTATTTGAAAGAAAACACCTAAAACACATCAGACATTTGGGAAATTTGACATGGCAGCTATCATTACCTGAGTACTTTGAGGCATTGCGACAACAGGGTGGAGAAGCAAAGCAAGTAGGGTACACAATTGTTTTAATATATACCCAAAGTACAGATCTAAATCAACACTGGTTGCCTTGGAAAACTGGTGACAATTAAGAAATAGCACTGATAATTACCTTAGAAACAAGCACTAGATAATGAGCACAAAGCAAAAAATACAAGAAGGGTGTTTATACTTGGTTTCCAGAAAATCATTATAAAGTTTATATATTATATATATATGTAAAGACTACCAAATTTGACTAGGATCCATACCTACATACAACAGAATCTGTATCCTACTTACAATTACTCCTAAAAGACAAATGTCAAAAGATTATACAGTGAGCTTAGGAAGAAAAAAAAAAAGTTGTCTGGAGTGTTGCAGATGGGGGAAAAATTCAATCCTACAGTTGAAATAGCAAGAGAGGAGATGCATAATGAATGAGTTTGGAAAGGTTATCACTGATTAAGCTTGAAGCAAGACAAACCTATGATAGAATAAGAACAAAGATCACAAGATCAGTAGTATGAAAAGGAGGACAACAGTGTACTACACAAAGGATGTGGGGGAAAGACACCAAGGAAGAGCTGCAATGAGTCTCAGATATTAGTGTCAGGTGGAAACATGCACACAGGAAACTCACGGGTGCAGTACAGCAACAGAACCCATCTTAGCACAGACAACCACAAATTATAGGCTCTTTGTATATCTTGTGCTTTTAATCATTTGGTAAAAGATATAAAGCAGGACTCTCATTAAGTATTTAATAATAGTACTAGACAAATCAAACTCTTAAGCAGAACCATGACATTTTAACAGTGAGGAAAATTGTTCCAAGAAAACTTGAATATTGAATGTTTTGTTATAACAGAGTATAAGCAGTGAGCATATCAATCTATGACTGCATTACAATACTGCAGCTGGTACTATCTGTGCAAACATCACATTTCAGTTTCTATTCCTCTAATCCGACCCAGTACCAATTTACCTCTGCATCCAAAGACTACAGGGGCTAGCCATATTTAACACATGGTTAACTTAAAGACAGTAACTTGATATTGGCATGAACTTGTTTATCTCAAAGTGTGCAGAACAGTGTGCAGAATATTTACTAACATAAAATATATTATTAGAATTCTAGGAGTACAGCAGAGCAACTTTCAATTCTTCTTCCTAAACTTATCTGGGTCCCAACAACTGCTACATTACAAGCCATCATCTTCTAAAGTCTTTCATGATACAGACTAAGGATTTGTCTGTGACTGAGTTTATATTCTTGTTACCAGCTCCTGGTTCTGGACTATGAGGCTTTACCTAGAAGTTAATTTGGATGATAGCAGAGAGGAGGTGATGACAAGATACAGGTTTCACAGGAGTGGGAAACAATAGCCTATTTCTATCCTTCACGACTAACACAAAAGAAACTAGTAATATGATTTCCCTAGTTTGAATTCTTTGGTAATTTCACTTAACAATACCTTAACATTCACTTCACACAAATTTGACAAAACCTCGAAAGTTCAATTTCTGTGTAGCAGCACAACTTACCTCAGGTGAATAGTTACTACAACTATGTGATTTCTACAAGAACTAAACTTATCGTGATCCCTTCAAAAACCTCAAAGACTTGGTCTTTTCTTAACTACATACAACCCCCTCACTTTTTTTTTTTTAAACTCAGGTTAAGACCACATCATCAATAATTATCCACAAGTGTAACATACCATTCTCTCTCAAGAATTTAAGAGCATCTGAATATCCTTGCTCACAGATCTCTCCTAATACCTGCAAGCATAGGGTAAATGAGTCAGACAAAAGGAGATTCAACTCAAGATCAACAGTTTGCAGAATGAAAAGCCACTTCCATCCACCCTCCATTCGTGTAAGAAAAATCTACATTAACAATTGTTATAATTCAACAGATTCAGGCTAATGTGCCTACTGTGATGATGCACACATGATCACGCATACATGAACTTATCTTTCACCTATTACAGATGCACCAAATCATTCACCTAAAAGGACACCATTCTAACAGTTTGCAAGAATTTCTTCCCCTTTTGTTTCTTTGACTAGCCTGTCAGCAGATGCAATGAAACAGGGTGGCTTGGAATATGCCAATTCCCCTCCTTCCCTCTCAGTGCTTCCCACTTCCCCAAACTACAAAAAAAGTCAGCTGTGCAATTTTCATGCTCAAACTCAGACTTAGTCTTCCATATGAAAACATCTTTCACCAGATGCAACACCAGCTCACCTACACAGTAGTCCTGGACAAAAAAAAAAAAAAAAAATCAAATTAAAGCCTACATAAGTAGAACTTAACATTTTTCTTCAAGAGGTCAAAAAGCCCTCAATTAAAAAAAAAAAGTATCTATAGCCGTCAGGAACATTACTTCTCTGTCGTATATCCCAAGCCGATTGGCAAAGTCAGTTTTCATTTTTTCAGCTTCCACAACAGCAATTCAAGAGCATTTCCCCCATCAGATCTGCAATTAACAGTGCTTAGCAAAGTTTAAAGGCAACTTGTCTGCATGAAGTATTAGTGGAAAACTTCACGAATCCACGAAGCTTTAGAGCTTCTAAATTCTGAAGCACCTGGTTAGCAGGTAAACATGAAAGGACTACAAACTGACAGTTATTAATTTACCAATGTTGATTTTATGGTAGAATCCTGTGCTAATTCCCAAATAAATATTGAAAGCCAACAGCAGGACATACATTTTTAGTCTGAGAGAGATCAAAAATAAGGAGAATGAAGACAAACTATGAAAAGAACAGAAACAATTCTGAAGCACCTGGTTAGCAGGTAAACATGAAAGGACTACAAACTGACAGTTATTAATTTACCAATGTTGATTTTATGGTAGAATCCTGTGCTAATTCCCAAATAAATATTGAAAGCCAACAGCAGGACATACATTTTTAGTCTGAGAGAGATCAAAAATAAGGAGAATGAAGACAAACTATGAAAAGAACAGAAACAAGAGAAATGTCACCAGAAAAGTTTATATGGCTAAATGAAATGCTAAGATTCCTGTAGGTTTCTGCAAAAGCATGGCTTTTATAGTTCTAGTAACTACATGAATGCAGTGAGTTACCTTCGGTTCTGGTGGAAAGAGCGCTTGTGTTAAACGATAAAGGTTCCCCAAACTGAGCTGAATGCTGGTGTTGGTCACATTCATTTCATGAAAGTTGGCAGAATTCCCCTTTGGACAGATATCACACTCCCCAGCAAAAGGCGAAACTGTGATGGTATTCTTTGATTCATAGTGAGGTAAGTTGTCACTGATTCCTCCATCCACATAGCGCTACAAAAATGAACAAAAATAAGAAGTCTCAAAAGCTGAAAATTTCTAACTAGCAGATTTGCCATGCAAGAATTAAATAGCATTTAAGACTAACAGAGCAGTCTCTGCCTATGCTCCCAGGCTAAACATTTTGAGCAGCATGCTTTGTCCTCTAATGCCAGTTAAAAACCATTCCAAGTTCTGCAGATAGCCTAAGAGTATTCTATTAGGGATTTTTCTGCACATTTAAGAAAAAGTAAGTCCATTTTAAAGATCATAATCCTACGCAACGTGCAGAGAAAAAGTAGTGCAGCTGTCTCCTCTTCCTCAAAGGACAGGAACAACCAAAGAACTACCAGGGTAGTTCTTTAGAATGAATACGAGCAAAAGAATAGCTCTACACTTCAAAGGTCAAGTTCTGTAATAACAAACCATTCAGTTAGAATAAGAGTAACTTAAAATTGCTCTTAGTAATTTAGAATTTTGTATAAAAGCATCAAAAATATTTAGACATAAAGAAACTGCAAGTAAAAATGGATAATGCTTCAGAAACCTTGCCAACAGTCATGGATATCTATTCTGCTTTGAGCGTAAGTTTAGATGCTGTTCCAGGTTACGGTTGTGTCTCCTTCACATTGAATTGCTCATTTCTGTAGCTTTAGTGCATCACCATTTTAGACATTTTAAGATCCAAGAACTGAAGAGTTCTGTATTGGGGTAACTAACCTATAGTGTAGCAGCTACTATGGCTAAAGACAATTCCCCCACTCACTCAAAACAGCCATCTTTCCAGCGTGGCCAATTGTAGCTAGTTTGTTCTGACAGTGGCAAAAGACTACCAGTTTTGCTGGTTTACTGGCTGCATTTTCCTTCTTTCTAACTAGGCACCAGACATAACCTGTAGGTCCTTGTAATATCTGAATGTAACACAGCAGGTGATTTGAGCAGGAGCAACCTGGATTATCAATTTCATCTGCCTCAATAGTCAGTCCCTGACCATTCTGAGAAACAAATTAGAAATTAGTAAGAGGACAACTCAGAGCAATTTATCCAACATACTCTTCTAGAGAAGCCTGTTCCTACCTGTCAGCTTTCTCAGCCACTGACAAACTTCCTATAGATGTACAATGCAATCACCAACGTACATATGCAATCACCAAGTCCTTTGTGGAAAGTACAATACAACAAAGGAGGAGCCATAGCATGCAGCTCTCTCATGAAATTGTTAAAAGGTGGAAGTACACATCTGAGTCATTGTTCTACAGAGGTAAACAGTTTTAATCATTTGGAGTTTCTGTCTATGCCCCCTAGTAATTTTTTAATCTGAAACCATTGCTGCATTTGAAAGGGGTAAAAAAACAAACAAAACACACCACACCCAAAAGCTTCACAACTGGCAAGTAGACATACCTATTGAAAGTTATCCTGAAGTCTTTGTTTTAAAGTATACATGCAGGAAGCACCAAGACAGAAATACAGCAAGATGCTACAAATTTTACATACTTGACATTCTACTGTGTTTAAACCCTACAGGAGTCATGCCAAGCATATGTAACTGCAGTATTCTTACCAAGTTACATGAAAAATGCTTCCTAAGCATTAAAATCGTATCAAAATAATTGCAAAGATCAAAAGCATACAATGATTCCTTCCTTCCCCTTCCCTCAAAATAGGTCCAAATAAAGCATCACTTGTATGTTTTTGTACTCTGAACTAAGCCTTTTAAAATAACATTGTTGTCTGGTGACAAGAACTGAATAGCCAGATTAGCCTGGATCCACCTAAACCTTGGATTCAGTCCAACGTCCTGTTTTCATAACACCTTTAATCTAGAAGAGTTTAAGGAGACATACAAGGTTTAGAAGTACAGATAAAGAAAAACCCCTATACAGTTTTAATCACTTTTGCTTAAATTTCAGCATGAAGAAAATACATTTCATATCTATCCTTGACCTTTTAGCACTTACAAATTGCCTTGAGAACAGTCTGTAATCAACCACTGCTAAAGATGTTTTGATTCTTTCAATATGCCTCCCCTCTCCTTCTGTAAGGAGCACCACAGTTGGAAGGAAAGCAAATGCAAGTTAATACAACACTATAACAAAAAGTCATGAATGTCACTGCCTTGCTTTGAAATGCATGTCTGCTTCCAGACCTGTTAATCAGAATACCTATAACAAACTCTTAACTTTTCTGCAGTTGTTGCCCCTTTAATGGGGGATTTTAGAAAACCCAGTATAGCCATGAAGTATTAAGAGATTTTGTAACCAACAGTTCCTGTCAAGAAATAAAACAGATTAATACACTGACACTGTACCTTTAAAAAGCAACCTTACACTGAATACAAATGACAGAAGACATTAAAAAGCTTTGTTTATATCTAACCAAACATGGAACTTAATCCAGTTTTAAGGCAGATCTACCTACAGCAACAACAAAGATATGCAATAAACTAGCTTACAAGATTTTTTTTTTTTTAAACAAACAAGTGTAAGTGACCCTTCCTATAAATTTGTACAGGTGAATGAGCATCACTCTCTTCAATAAATATTTATCCTTAAGTTAAATACTTAAAACACTTGCTATCTTCGAATACCCCCTTAAAATTCTTGCTTGCTGATTGCAGTAATTAAAAGAGCTCAAGCATGTGTGTGTTTTGCAGAGTGGTGAAGAAACATACGTAACATCTTCCACATACTTAGTGTTTCCCTGCTTTTTTTAAAAAATTGTAACATACAGCTACAGTACTAGAAGCTATGATGAAGATATCTATTTTACAGTCGGATAACAAAACACATATATACATTGTCTCTTAATTATTTTTTCAGAATAGCTAGAACTATTTTTAGATCTTAGCAATAGACACTTACCACACCTCTAAATGATGGTGGAATTAGGCCACAATAAATAGGGACAAATGAACTACAGATTAAAGCCTGTAGGAAAATGAGACCATATAAATTAAATGGTAACTATTCTATTATTGAAATGATCATTTATCTTTATATCTTTAGATGTTAGCAACAACAACCAATCAAGCAACCAAAAAAATCTCTATCAAGTACACTTGAATAAAAAGATGGGGAAAAAAGCTATTATCAAGCACTATTTTAAACACGGTGTGGATATTCCACATTTCTTTTTTGGAATGTAACCACACTCCACCTAAAAAAAAAAAAAATCTAAGACTCACTAAAAGACCATTTCTGGAAATGCTAATTAGCAAGGAAAAGTTTATGATCATCCACTCAAGATATGCATTTTCTGAGTAACCAAAGTAACTAACTAGAGACACAAATATCAACATTCCGGGATCATATTAAACTAGCTTTGTAACCAACATGAAGAACTTCAAAAAGATATTTTTGACTGTTTCTTGATCACTGCTTTTGTAAGCATGACCTTAAAAAAAATTCTTATTTATACATTGCACTTTAAAGGCATTTATCCTTTTTAAGATTGACCCCTCACACCTACTCACTAAAACAGTTTGCAGATACATTGACTGGGAAAACTAGTAAGTGAAATTAGTGTAACGAAGCTTGACAGTATATTAAAGATGAATTCAAAGTCACAATATCCTAAAATGTTTAAAATAGAAATCCAGTGGATGATGTTAAATGGACTTAAGGTTATAGAAACTTTTAAAAGCTGTCAAACATACCTGGACAACTTCTTCTTTAGAGTTAAAATTAGATATCAATGCATTTTTACCATCTGATACTCTGGTGAGTGAAATACACAGTCTGCCCGATGACAACTGGTGAGCGTTTTCTGGAAGATTTCTCATCAGTCCATCTCTTACTATCTTTATCACATTAAAGGAAGGATGAAGAGGACCAAGATTTCGCTTTCTAGCTTCTTTGGCTAATGCCAGAACATCTGCACAAGCTTGAGCTGAAAATAAAATACATTTAACTTAAGAACAGAAGATATGTCAAAAAGCAAAACACACACTTCCAGTAATAAAGCATGTATAGAGCTCCAATTTTTCTCTCTGATTGCTAGCATGAAAAATAAAGAGCTTTTTAACAGATAAAAATAACTGTCCACTAGTGTTTAACAGAGTTTAGGAGTTTTCTGAGGCAGAAAAAAAAAGTCACTTTAGACTTTCAAGTAGAATTCCTGGTGAAGACCCAGCCGCTAAGTTACTCATATGTTATTTTTTTATAGACTTTTTATAGGTATAAAATACCAATATAAGATGCTTCGGTAGGGAATTAATTCCAGAAACACATTATTTAAGAAAAAACAAAGATGAGTGACATTCTCTAAGCAGGTATGCATGGACACATTCCATATGCAACATCATAAAAACCTACAGTGTATGATGCACAGATTTAAGGTCTACAGTATGTCTGCTGAAGAAGTAGAGGACCTGGGGTTCATCACAGCTAGTAACACTTGTTGGACTTCAACCAACCTTAAGGTTTCAGGGCACCATTTATCTGCATTTATATATAAACACAGTAAAGGGAACATTAACTGTGATCTTATTGTAAGGAAGATCAGGAGGGAAGTTTTTAAAGCAGTGGGTAAGGAATATGGAGGAGATTTGTAACACCTCTCACACAGGTCTCCACCTAAATAGGTGGATAGCTGTAAAAATAGGCATTTTTACTAGTATATAATGGACATGATAGTTTTTATAATTTTTTCTCCAATTAAATCAGCATTTGGGAACTAGATCAAATCACTACAGAAGACACAACTGCTCCTGAAAAACGCTAAAATAATTTTAACAACCACATAGCTAGTCATTGTAAGAACAGTAGCTCAACCTGCAATGCTTTGTTTGAATTTTTAATGTCATGATTCTCCAGGGCATACTTTGAGGAAATTGCCTGATAAGCTTGTAGAGGAACTTGACAGAGGAAGGGGGGTGGGAAGTAACAGGTTATTAACCTGAGTGATACGCTACAAGATCACGTAAGAGTATTTTCAGAACTCGTATAGTGTAACTTACATCGACTCTTCCTAGGATAGCTAGGATTCAACTTATCAAGTTAAATGTGAGCATTGCACTGGAAACAATTCTGCTTAAGCCTCTGAGTTCAGATTAATTTCCAAAGGTATTTTCTTTCTACAATGTTATTTTGCGCCCCTCAAATAGCAATACCTAAACCTTTCTTATTCTTAACACAGTAAACCAAGAGTCTATGTTCAGTAGAGCATCTCTAAAAAAATCTGAGGTATCAGACATACTCCATTTTTACCATTACAATTTTTTCATTCCACCTTTGCAGAGTGAAGCCTTGAGCCATGAATCTGCTGATACCAGTACCCAGACCCCACCTCCCACCCCATAAGACAGCAAACAATTTAGACACAGCTCACTGCTCATGGTCAAATATATCCTTATGTTAGTAAAACACATTTTAGATGCAATTAAAAAAATGGCACAAGTCACATTCTGGCAAGTGAGGAAGTTCTTTCCAAAAGCAGTTAGTTATGTTGACAGTTTTCTCAGTTCTATTTTTCCATGCACTCAAATATAAATTACCACCTCCCTAACTAACTTAGCAATGTTCAATCTTCTAAACTTTTCTGAAGACAGAAAATCAGACACACTGCAGGAGTCTGAGATACTGAACTACCAGAACTCTATCCATGAACAGTAGTCTTAGTGCATGCATTAATTTCCTTTTTCAAAATAAGTACTTTTTAAAAACTTATGCCCCAAGCAAATAAATTGCTTGTTCTAAAAACCAGACCAAGAGCACTCGGGTGCACGGACACATGAGCAAACAAACACACTCTCACTTCTCTGCCAGGTCTTGACCCTGTTTTTCTAGCTAGCATCCTGTCAAATTGACACTCAAGCCGTTACTTAAGTTTGAAGCACAGTAACATCCTCACTTATTTGCACTGCAGGCCTGTTTCTGCAGAAAAAAAATAAAGTATACCAGTGCCCTCTATTAATCTTGTGTTGCAATTATTTACCTCTCACCATAAAAAAAGTCAGGCAAATACCAGCTCACTTTACATACCCCATTAAAGAGCTGTAAACTGATGACCTCTAACAGTTTAGATTTGAATCCCTCTCATTTCAACTTCCTTTCAGAAAATAACTACCCATCAAGCTGAAATTTGATTTCATAGTTTACCCATCACTTCCGCATACAAGAATTTCTACATTTGAGGTAGTCTATAGGGGGAAAAAAAAAAGAAAAAAAAATCAAGTTTACATATTTTGTTTATTGTAACCTATTTTAAACATGGGGGGGGGAAAAAAAAAAGACTGTGTTGTGGTCTACCCAAGAGTATGTCATATTAAAACACTGAAAATTTAAAAAGCTGTTCATTATTAATTTAACAGACTTCAGAGTATTCCAACTTCTTTTCCTTTTCCCTTCCTTCCTCAACAGAACTAAAAAAAAATACAGTTACCTCTTACGCTGGTGTATTCCAAAATGGGATCTTCTCAGAAAGGGACAGAAGGCTAGAGCTCAACTCAGACTGGAATTTTAGGCAGACCTCGGTACATCGGTTTTATTTTTTGAAGTGCAAGAGAGCTAAAGAAATGAATATACCTATTAAATGTGAACTGTTTCTAGTTTTATTTCTATATTCCTAGTTATGTTTCTCTATTCCTATTTTAGTGGTTAATAATTATTATATAATAACTATTAATTCATTTCCCACAGACTAAAACCTGACCTTGTATTTACTGCCCCTACCAAACCTGTTTTCTTTAGTGTCCCACTAGAATGGACGACCACATCACCACCGACATACCAGATCTTCAAAACATCCATGGGGAAGATCTAAAAAGCGCACCTCAACAGTTCCAGTTCAGAATAGCCTGGAATGCACTTCATCCTCAAAAGAACAGTCACGTCTACGCTTCCCCCTCTACCTTCCCCCAAATTCAATGAAGTAAACTTCTTCCTCAGTCTGGTAAAGTATACTTCTTCCTCAGTCTGGAAAAGTATACTTCCTCCTCCCCTTCAATGGCTAATATTTCAAATGTGAAATTCTACAGGCTCTCAGTTTGCCTATCTAACAGGTAACATGAAGCACAAAGAAAATCCTTTATTTACAACATCTGGCTACAAACCTGTAAGAAATCAGAAATGCACATCAATTTTTGTCAAAAATCCTGTTCATAGATGTATGTACACACTCAGAGTTTTACATGCACCAACAACCCAGGGCTGGGCCCACTTAAGTCTTGAACACCTCCAAGAATGGAGGTCCCACAACCTCACTGGGCACCTGTTCCAGTATTTTACCACCCTCACGTTAATTTTCTTTCCCTTCTACCTAATCAGAATTTGCCATGTTCCAGCTTGTGCCCTGCTGCCTCTCATCCTTCCACTACCCGTCTCTGAGAAGAGTCTGGCTCTGTCTTCCCCACAGTGAAACAACTGTGAAAACACAAGGGACTTTTAACCACAACTGCAGAAAACACAAATACTGCATATTAAAGTATATCAATGTAAGGGAGGCGTACAATACAAACTAATGAAATATATCAATTTGTTATACCACATTGAGTTTCTTTAGAGCTTATTTACAATCCTCTGCTTTCACACAAGCTCATAAAAAATTAACAGCTAAAAAGATACAGAATTAACATGGAAATACCTTCTTCATTTGATGAATTTACAATGATTCACAGATTTTAGAATGTGTCTGGTTCTGAATTGTCTTCCAAGATTCCCAAGATGCTTCTTTTTTTTAAGTTTCCAGAACAAATACACTTGCCCATGATATACAATACCTTGGGCAGTGATTGCACACATACTAGCTATTCTATTTGTTAGAGAAAAGCAAAAATCTCAGTTGGCATTGAGAAGGGAAAGACAAGGGAATATTTGAAGTCTACAAGTCTCAATTACTTAAAAACTGTAAAAGCTGTTAATAACACATACTTTCAGGTGAACAATAGACATTTTTGTGCTTCAGAGAACTTCAAATATTTAAAGCAGCATCCTTCTTAAGTAATTTACAATGACTTAAGTCTTAAAATTGGATACATTCTAAAAATAGTTATTGTGTATAAATATGATTTGTTTTAAAAGCTGATATTAGGCTCATAATAAGTGTATTGTGTTAGGACATTACACCAACATTAAATTAAAAAGTTTAAGTAGCACAAGTTTACTGCTAAAGTTTCGAAGAAATTGAGCGTGTGTGATAGAGATCAGTGGCTAAGCAGCAGGGACAAGCACTAGTCTCTTGCATATACAGAGAACTTCTGTTTGTTTTAGTCAATAAATTGTTCCCTCAGAAATTTAAAAGCAAAACCCAATCCTTTTCCAAACTCAAAATAAGCACTCATTGTAAGTAAGTAAGATAAAATGTGAATTTACAAAACCTTGTAGTTCTAAATCTGTTAAGACTACACTTAAAAACAATCACTATTGATTAATGAACTAGACAAGCTTTTATTCAGTATATTTCTTTGGTTTAAAAGGAAAAACATTTTCAGATTTCCAGATATTTCCTACACTTTTTTAACTGTATTCCAGGCACTATCCTAAACACTTTGGTATTTTACTTGTATTAAGCTTGCTTTAATGTCTAGCATGTCTAATTCACTAGATAAATGTATATTTGGGTTCTCATGAGCTCTAAATAAATAAAAGTAAGGTATACTTACTATATTCCTACTGCTAGAAAAGAAGTAGCTTATTTCACAGGAGAGACTATATTTAGTTGCAAACTAACATCTTCTATCCAGTATAGACACAAAACAAGATTAACTATTACTTAAATCACAATTAAAATCAGTGATTTTAATCATTCCACTGTTTCAAATGATATACCTACGTGATCTATGCAATATATACTGCGCACAGATTAAAGAGGAAAAGCATGTTAAAGCTAACCTAAGCCCCTGACCTTAACTCTCTTAGCCCTACAGCAAGAAAGGAGAAGCTTCCGAGGAAGCAAGTTAAAGCTAGCTGAAACTTCATGTGCAAAGCTAACCACAGAAGAGATGCATTATTTCCCACTGAAGTGTAAGTATTTCGTTTCAAACTGATGACAGGGTTAGTCTGCTCGCTCTGAAGGGTGTTACGATTCAGCTACTCCTGCTCTCCCGACAGTTTTTAATTCCCCTACTTTGCACCCAGGTAAGAGCAGTCGTCACCAACATTTGTAACTCCGAGGCCAGGCGGCACCGGAGGAACTCCTCAGAGGGACACACATACCTGTCCCTGTACCTGGGGTCGTAAACTCCGACCATTTGACTAAACAAGTGTTGAAATCGGATCAGGCATCGACAAGACATTTCTTGAACGAACGAGGTTGATAAATATCCATCCGAGGTGAAGACACGCTAACTTTAGCACCTGCCTCTTCCCCCACCCTCAAGGAAACATACCATTTTTCTGTATTTTACTCGGAGATAAGGTGTGCACGGGATGAGACGCGAGGGAATAGAGAAAAAGACAGCCCAGCACCTACAGGGCCACATAACGCGTTCGGATTTAATTTCATAACAGTGGTCAATGTTCCTCTTTTGGGGACAGAAAACGAGAAAGAGAGAAAAAGAGCCAGCCCCGCAGAGAAGGGATGG